TTATCTCAGTATTTTTATCCTCACAGCTGCTGATGTTAATCCTCAGACCTTTAACAGACGCTGCCTCCTCACCTGTCACTCGCTGTACCTCTCACTCTTCTTCTGTGGTGTTCTGTTGGCCGTCTCAGCAGATGAGAGGGAAACTTAAGCTGGTTTTATATCTGAGATCAAAGGGTTAACAGCTGTGGAGATACCTCTGTTATAGCATTTAATTTGTAGTTCTGCATCAGATTTCACCCACTGACAGCACTACACGATATACATGGTGTAAATCACCCCCCCTCAGACAAAAAAAAATGTAGTTCCGTAAGTTAGGTTCAGGAAAGTAAAGTTATGTAGATTAGGTTTAGGGAAATCAGGTTACTTAGGTTTGGTTTAGGAAAGTAAAGTTATGTATGTATGTTAGGTTTAGAAAGTTACGAAGGGTTAGGTTTAGGAAAAATAAAGATACAAATCTTTTGTTATATTTTTCAGCTTGTTAGCAGTTTTACACTCAAAGCAGTTTCACAGCAAAAAATTTTAACCAATTTATCACAACTTGAAGTTATCTGTTACCTAATGTTACACGGGCCCATATTATGTTTGCCTTGTAAGTGAAAACCTACTTGATAATAAATCTGACTCTGTATCTATTGAGAGAGCTGCAGCGGCGAAACAGGCTACGATGTAACCACTCGGTCAAGGTGCGCCCCGTCGATCCAGGTCATTAAAAGGCTCAGGTTGTTATTATGATTTTCTGACAATATTATGGAAATGATCCCTACAGAGATGTGAAACATTGTTCCATACTTTTCATTGTTCCATACGTTGAATTTGTCTCGTTCTGAAACCTCAGGAGAGGTGATTTGTTGCAGGAGGACAATGGTGGAGTGAGAGTTGTAGAGAGTAGCAGTAATAGTTGTGTTGGAGTACAGAGAGTGTATCTTACTCTTTTCTAAAATATTTCCAATGTCTTGGCTGAATATTTAGCTAATTTCATCAATGTGGAAAAGTCTGAGATTTCAGAATGAAACTTCTTTAGCGAGTTTTGTTCACAAAAGATCGGAACAAGCAACAGGTGAGGAAAAATGTAGGGCTGCCCCCCCGACTGATGATTTTCCTAGTAGACCGACAGTCCTCATCAGGGTCCATCAGTGGACCAACAGTCCTCATCAGGGTCCATCAGTGGACCAACAGTCCTCATCAGGGTCCATCAGTGGACCAACAGTCCTCATCAGGGTCCATCAGTGGACTAGTCTCCTGCATGTTTCTGATATGAATGTAATGATTAAATGATATATTTTGGTGGTTTGAGTTGAAGGTGTGAGAAAGAATAGTATCAGTAACATTGTTAACACTGTGCTACATTACAGAGAAATACAAAACCGTACTAATGAACCTTCATTAATATAGGCCTATATTTTATCTCCAAGTGCACGTCACACACTGAGCGAGCCGCCTGTTAATGACGCTGTGGGCTAATGGGCATGTAGCTACTTCCATGTTTCAGATGATACGTCATGTTTGTAGTCGACCAATGAAGATGAGTTTACATATCACCTTGGGTTCGTCCTTCACCTTCTCAAAATGATCCCACGCTTTGGATTTCCTGCCCGACATGTTATTAACTAGCCTGTGGAATAACCGCAGGTACCAGCCCTGGAAATTAACCTGACTCCTGTCTGACTGCTGAGCGTGGACACTTCCTGTGTCTGTCCTTTCAAAGTAAACTCCCACATGGTCCAGTCATATAGGTTTGGATTTATTTTGATAAGGCGCAGCTCCTGATACAGTTTGTTGTTTTTTATTTACTTATTCGTTTTTTTCTGCGACTAGGTGACCAATGAAATCTTGCAGACTAATGACCTGTCTGGTTGATTAACGTTTGGCTAACTATCAGGGGGCAGCCCGAGAAAAGTGTTCCATTCCTCTGAAGGGATCTTTTCCACAGTGTTGTCGCAGACTTTGTAAAACAGTCTGAGAACACAGAAACACAAAAACAAACACTGTTAATGGACGAACACTGACGGGGCGCTCGGAGTGTTTACACTGCAGCCTGTTCTGCTGCTGCTGCGGTGTCACGAAAGCACAGGAACATAGAGTCCAGGTTGAAAAATACCAAAGTTTACGTATAAGTATCGAAGTTCAGCACCTACCTGTGGGCTACAACTTGACTCCCCGTTATTTATTTTGCCTGTATTCGTTTGTGCCGAATGATGTGTGAGCACTTCCTGTTTACAGTGTACTCATGGACGTACAGACATCTGTCGCTGGATCAGTGTGACACTGAAGAAAACTTCAAAACATAAAGACTCTGGGGCAGCTTCTGCAGCCTCTTCATGCCTCTGAACTGGTGATAGCCGCCCCATACTGGTGAACACCATATCCTAAGCCTTAAGGGAATTTCCTCAGATTTGGCACTGGACTTAAGAATGAACTGATTTGATTTTGGGGGTCATAGATCAGAGGTGAAGGTCGTAGGGCACTGATCTGTCTCATTCTCATGGCACAAACGTTCCCCCAGACTCAAGGATGAATTAATCACATTCAGAGTTAAGGTCATCATTACTTTGCATCTATCTACTTCTTGTGAATGCAATATCTCAAGAACACCTGGAGGGAATTTCTTCAGATTTGGCACAAACGTCTATTTAGACTCAAGGATGAAGTAATTAGATTTTGGTGGTCCTAAGTCAAAGGTCAAAGTCACTGTGACCTTGTCCATCTTATTCTCATGAATGTGATACCTCAAGAGCACCTTGAGAGAATTGTTTCAACATCCAGATTTAGACTCACAGATGAACTGATTAGATTTTAGTGGTCAAAGGTGAAAATTATGAAGTGATGACATTTTATATACAAAAGGTCAAAGGTCAGCTTGACTGTGACATCATCATGTTTTAACGTCATATCTCAGGAACAGAAGGGGAGACATTTGGTCAGATACTGAATTGGTGACTCTAATCTTGAAACTGTGCTGATTGTATAGATCTTCTGTGTGTGAAGCATCCATGTTTTCACTGACATGGATGGAG